AATGATCACCGTGCGTAATATGAATTCGTCTTAAAACTTATAATTTCTAATTTAAATTATACACTGACTGATGATAAGAGAAAATTAATTCCAACATAAGCATTATACAAATTATTTGATACTCGTTGGTAAAGCTGATGACATGTATACATTTAGATTTATTAATACAACAAAATTAGAAATATCGTTTTATATTACAAGAATTGATACACAGAGGTACAGAATAAAAAAGCGAGTTTTTTTTTTTTGAACAAATAAATAGATCTCATGTCCAAGAAAAAGTAGTATTATGGTGATTAGTTGAGTGAGTAAGGAGAAATAAACCATTTAATAAATAATTGAGATTAATATTTAAGATTTTCTATATAACTAAATATGTGACAAAGATTATTAATAACCGCTAAAACTCCAAAATTTATACAAATTAATATGCACAATTCTAAAAAATTAAGGGTCATATAAAATATTATTCATTTGTTCCACCGACAAGACTCCAACTACCGCTCAAAACACTACCAGGAGTGGTGGCATCCAGATCTTGTGAAGCGTTATTTCCATTTATGTAACTAACCCTTGTAATATCTCCGCACTCAGCAGATGCGGTAACCACAGATGACAAGCCATTGACTTTCAGTGATGAATTCAACTGAGTATTAGAGAAATTATTGAAAGGAGTCGCTGGAGTACTGCCATTGTCAGTTGTGGCAGTATTAGTAGTCATTGTACTGGTACCACTATTACTTGGCAAACCGCTGCCATTCCAATCCGAATTCTCTATAGTGGATTCTTGAATGTTTGAAATCCAAGGATGCGAGAGTAATTCTTTGGCAGTGGGACGTTGCTGAGGCGATCTGACGAAGCATTGTTTTAAAAAGTCCATTCCTAATTCTGATAATTGCGAAGGATCAGGTAGTGGAGGGTGACCCGTCACTACATGATACATCACTGCCCATTCGTTATCTAAGTTAGACCAGGGACGCCTTCCTGTTGCCATTTCCAACACACAACAACCTAATGACCATATGTCCATCGACCCATTTCGACCTTTTTCGCTTCCAGTAATAATTTCCGGTGCCTGAATGTAACAAATAATAGGAAATGAAATTGTCAACTCTAATCGATGGCACAAAATTATTCAGAAAATTGAAAAACGATTTGAAACTTACCATGTACATTGGTGTACCAGTCAGGCTATTAACATTGGTTCTTGGAGCCATTGTAGTTCTTCCCATCGTCTTCTGATTCTTTGCGAGAATCTTTGCGGCACCAAAATCTACGAATTTGATAACACCCTGATGGTCCAATAATATATCTAAAATATAGATGTATGAGTATACATGAGGTCATGTCAATGCAACGAAAACAAAAAATTAAGGAGTGTTACTTACTGTCCGGCTTAATGTCTCTGTGAACTATATTGTTCTCATGTAGATAAATTATCCCTTGCAACATTTGAAAGGCGTAATATTGTATTACATTTTCATCCTCGATACGTCCAAGTTCAAGTTGGGATGACAAGGAACCTCCCGGGCAATATTCCATAAATATATAGACTTTATCTCTGTGGACCTCAATGCCGTAATATGAGACAATATTTGGATGATCAAGCATTTCCATCACAGACATTTCTTCCTTAACAGATTTGTAAAGTGTACTAAGCGAAGAAGGATCTTGAAATCGTATTTCCTTAACCGCCATAAGACCCCCAGTGTCTAAATTAACAGCCAAATACACGGAACCGAAAGTACCACCCCCAATAAATTTTCCTTGTTGCCATCGAAGCGAAATGTTTGAACTAGAGGACGCTAGGAAAACAAGTGGTTTGTATTCAGGCTGATCATCGTCAAGCACTTTACCAACGAGACGCTGCTCCTGTTCTTTTTGCGCACGTCTGGACTCCAGTTCGTTTACAGCTGCTATCCATTCATCCCGTAAGACCGAGGAATCTTCACTATTGATCGGTTGTCCATATTGACCGACACTTACTTCGAGTTTTTCTTTTTCCAGAGCTTCGTGAGACGAACGCGCACCCATGATGTCCACGTGCGATATGAATAGCCTCATACACATACCGACCTTGCTGCGTAACATTGCGAACTCGCTCTCTGTCAGACCTAGAATATTGTTGCCACGATTAGTTGCCATGGTAAATTCTAAAGCTATCACAGCCCACCGAAAAGTCTTGCGGTCAGATGGGACACAATCATCGCATATAAAGCTAACCCAATCAATTGACATCCGAGTCAATTTGACATTCAACTGAGCTCTCACCGCATCTCGGTGAAGATATCGCAGGGATCGTTGACCCAACTCGGTGGCGAAGCTAAAGCAATTTTCAATTAAATCCTGACATTCAATGTTCTTGGTCCTTTCACGTATTGTGTTGACGCTATCTATTATTTTATTTACGAATTTAAATATAGTCTTTTTAATTTTGGTGATCTCCCGGTTCACACTAGGGACGTTAGCACGTGTCTCCAATAACACCTTGATCCCACAGTTCTCAACCGCCTTGCGGAACCGTTTTTTACATTCATGAAGTCTTGAGTAAGAAGACCCATCTGCGACCAACCTAGTTCGGTGCGTCTTAAGATCAATGTTTATTTGGTCCATTGACATTTCCATCACGGGACCATTCCATTCGATGGGTACTCTTGGTGACAACAAAAGAACATATTGAAGTCCCTGCACTTCATTATCAAAATCATCTTTATCTTTTTCATATGGTGTGAGAACGGCCTTTAGCAGCTTTCGTATTTGATCCTGTTGGTCATAAAGTGATTGTTCAACTATGAGACACACGCCATTCTCTTCAAAAGTATTCGAGTACACCAGGACATGATCGGTACGTTCCAGCCCTTCAATAAACGCTGGATAGTTTGTGTCATCAATAAAGTATTCAGCAGAGTTTTCAAGCTCGCTAAAAAGGGACCTAACAGATGAAACATAAGAATTAAAGGTCTGCCGAAAAACTTGTGACACAAACAAAATAAAAACATTCATTCACGATACATGCTTTGCAAACCGCATCAGCTTTCGAGATCTCAATCGCACACTATCCAGGATCCGGTTGTAGATTTTTGATAAATTGGAGCCATCGGTATCCGTGGGAACGTTTTCCAACTCTGATCCAAAGTATGTGATGACACTTTGAAGTAATATATTCGTGAGGACGCTACGGAATTTCAGAAGTTCCGTGAGCAACTATCATTTTGCCGTCCAATTGACATGCATAAATTTTCAGATCAATAATCGTATCACCTACCAAAATTTTTCGGCAGCTTCGCAGTCACCACCTGCTATTTGGCGACAAATGCCACTTAAGAAAGACCATTCATTCTCCAAAATCTCAGCCTCTTTAAAGAAAACGGTCTTGTTTTTATAACTGTGTTTAATTTTCAATTGCAACAAGTTGAAATAAAACTTTAAAGATTCTAATAACACGGTATTGTAACTCTCGCCAATGCATGGAGGAATCTCCCACCCTTTAGCAGGTTTTATGAGTTCCAAGTATTGATGTTTGATTTGACATGCCAGAGATAGCGAGATTCGGAAATCATCCATCATCTGTTGAATCATCAATATTGTCGGATCATTCAGAACATTGGCATATTCCAACAAAAGCTTCATACATTCTTCCATGAGCTTTGTAGGAAAATTTAAAAGCTGCTGTAATTCACTAATATAGGGGGGTAGTTTCATCTTTGCAAACGCAATAGCATTCTCATTCATGACACTTTTTGCTTTAAGCAAAAGTGAATTTAACGTGGATAAAGTTCTTTTCTCAAATGTCTGTTTCAAACTATTTTCCTTCAATATGCGTTCAAGGAAAGAAGGCTCTGCGTCAGCAGGTGCATCTTTAGATCGAGTTATAATTAAATCTTCACTACCTGTCCAATTTTGTAAAATCTTTAATTGAGTTTGTAGACTACGTGTTACCGTTAGCCACGAGTTCAAAGCATCCAAGCTATATGTAAATTCAGCTGATTTGTACAAGGGTTTATCCTCCATCATCGCCTTGCGTGAAGGATACAAACTCTCGCAAGCATCCACTTTCTGAAGCAGTTCGGCGACTTGATCAAGTGCGGATACATCACCATGTTTGACCTCGAACTGTACCACCTCATTCAAGACGCTGTCAATCTGTTGTCGTCTTTCTTCCACTATTGCTTTTTCTTCCGTTGGGTTTTGTGTAAGGCGGCCGTGCACCGCCGCACGAATCCCAAGCCACATATTGAAATTGATGTTATAAGCCTGTCGTGCGGAACCTGACAAGCGACGTTTCTCCGACTTAATAACCTCGCCGGTAAGAACCGAGGCCAAGAAACTCTGCCATTCCATTCTCTCCTTTTGCATTTCCTGCGATAATCCACCGGCGGACACGGAATTATCCGGTTCATCGTTATAATCAGTTTCCGGGACATTATCATTATCACAAATTACAAACGTATCAGGTTTCCCGTCTTCGGAATCATCCGACTCATTAGATGACCTGTCATCATCCCAGTCAAGATTATAGCTTTCATCACTTTGTTGTCTCCTTCTACCGTTAAAACCATCAGCCGTCAAACCTGGTCCCCAACTATTGTGTTGATGAAGACGATGTCTCCTGGGTTCTTTCCCGTTGACACGCCTGCTATCGTAGGATTGTGACTTTCGGCTAGATGGCCGGCGTATTTCGTCATCTTCTTCGTCATCATCATTTACACCATCGTCATCTTGATCATGTAAGGAATTCCTATCGTAATGATTGACATGCCGGTGGGTCGAATTTACCTCGCCATCGCGTAGAATGTGTTCATTGTCGGTGGGATCGTGAATGAAATCTTCGGAAACGACATGAATGTGATTAAATCTCGCCAGTTCGTTAATCACGTCTGGATTTTGACTATATCTTTCTCGCGTTGTGACAAGATGTGTAGTCTTAAAAAATCAATGGTAACGGTTAATCTCTTATGATCACAACTTTTTAAAAAGTACGAACACAGCAGCAAAATATGTACAGAAGAAATTTTACTTTTTCGGAGAGCGCGGGAGAAATTTTTCCTCCTTGACGTCGAATTAGGTTTTCCAAATTTTGTTTTTTATAGTCATCAATCAATAAGAAAAAACGTTTGCCTGAAAATGGCTTTTTGGGGTTGTGTTCGTTTCGACCATGATTACCATTTGTACCTTTAGATTTCTGGTGCGATCCGTTGAAACTCAGACGTGCCTCGTCATACGGAGGAGTATTAAACCGAACCGAGGGTTTCATGGTGGAGGTAGATTTGATAATAAATGGTCGTTGTAGCTAACGGTTTTACTGTTGGAGCCTGAAGGAATAAATGCGAAAAACGCGGTTAAATTGTAAAGTGGAAGTGCATGTATCATAAAAGATGTTGCACTACGGAGTTTAATGTATTTTGTAGTATAGTCTTTCTAGCTGCCTGATAGGTTTCTTTTGATGTTCTGGCAACCCCCCAGCTTTCTTCTCTGATAACGATAGCAATATAATAGTCAGCTGATTATCCTAACCAATTTAATTTTTGATACCAAAAATTTTTGTGAGCCTATGTTTTAATAATTTATCGGTATTGCGTATAGTAAGTATACTGATTTCAAGTTTCTCTTTGAGATTTTTATTATAATTTATTTTACATTATCAAAAAAAGAATTCTTAATGTAACTCAAGATCTGCCACTACGTATTTATAGTACGTGCATTACTATATGTATAATAAAAAACCTTATATCACATTAGTTTTTAAAATAATTCGCTCTTCATCCTTCAAACGCCTATTTTTACCTTCCTTTTTTTTCGCATTAAGATGGAGGATGATTATGAAAGTGTACTGTTGGTTATTCGTGAATGCTACGGTAATCTTACATATACACCTACATATACACATTACATATTGCAGTCATGTTTCGCGTATAAAATTCAAAAGTCATTTACGTAACAAACTCTTTATACGTTCTCCAGTTTACAAGTTACCTCCAAGAACATCAAGTAGAGAATACAGGTAAAGAATACAACTCCTCAATTTTAATAACACAGACTCGTTATTGACTCATGACGGACCAAATGGGAATTCTGATAAATTTTGCAGAGCGGCAGAATGGGGGGATATGGAAGCGTTCATGTGGAAAGGTAGACTTAGGATCATAGCCGTAGGCGAAAAGTGCTTCATCAAGTTAGAGGATGGAATAACTGGTACGAAATTTTGGACTTTGCTTACAACGCACACGTTCTACCTTTCGTTCTGACTTCAAAAAATACTCCGATTGAACTTAGGCGAATTATTTGCGCAATGTCCGTACGATCCTCAAACTAATTCTGTAGAACCAGTACGGGATTCATCAAGATATTTTGTATTACGCATTGAAGAAAATGGCAAGACAATTTCTTATTCGTAATAGAAAAGTTAATAAATTTATGGTACTTTGTTGATTTCTTCGTAATTTAAAACCCAACAATCGATTATTTTTTTTCTTTTTGCGGATAGGTCGGCATGCTCTCATAGGAATGGGCTTTCAAGAGCGCTCCGAAGCATTTGATTTTCAAGTAGCTCTACAGGATCACGTCAAGTGAGAGCAAATTTAAATTAATTTATCCCTAAATGTATATATTTACAGAAATAAAAAATTTCTTTTTCTAGACACGTTAAAGCAGAAAGAGAAGCAATTGAGCATGCCAAAGTTGCTGCACTAGAACCAAAGAAGGATTACAGTTTGAAAGAAGGTGAAACTATTTGTATTAATATCGGACATGTAAGTCATTCTCCATTGTTGAATTCGTTTTGGTAATGCGAACTAGATACCCATGCCCAAATATGATAATAGCAAAGAAAATCGAGACCACACACGATTAGTAATCTTGGAGGCTCTGAGACAGCTGGAGGTTTGAATATTATCATATCTTTTCATTTTTATCCTACTCCTATTTCACCTAATTCTAATTCGCTCTTGATCCGACATATATAATAACTAGTAGTTCCACTTTTACCACCGCCACCATCGGCTGCATCGATCAAGCATAAAAATAATTTATCAATATCCTCTGGCAGCAGAACAACCAGAAGGCCACCTTCAAACGAATTTGGTGAATTTAAAGCGTTTGAGAATGATTCAACTGATTTTTTCAACAACGCCGGATAAGTATACATATCAAACTAAATTCCATAGTTAGATTGAACTCAACAAGGTAAACGGAATTAATTTGTTCTTTATTATAATTATTATTTTTAGCCTTGGCTTATCTGATATCTCGATCTGTCCCAGAATATTGTCCCCCGCACAACTGTTTAATGCTTAAAATAAATATTTCCAGATATTTTTATAAGCCTAAAGGAAACACACATTAATCTTACTGTAATGTATACATTAGTAATTGTTTTCATGCATACACCTTTCGGATGAAATTTCACACCTGGACGCAGTCTAGGCAGCACACACCACTTTTAATGCAAGGTCATTGTCATTACACAGTCTTTCGATCGGTAATAACACGAACGATACAACCAACCCCAGCAACCTCCGTAAGCTATAAAAATCAAAGAATGCAATCACTAACATTGCAGCAAATAGGTTTTTATCGTCAAATAAATTCGGATTATTACCTTTTCATGCCAATTCAATAGCATGGCAGAGCTATATAATTCGGGTGATGCCATTCCACGATAAATATATTTCATCAAAACATCCTGTTGTTCAGATGATAAATTCTTAACTAAGGATGGAATATCGGTAGCTTTTATAGAATTGAGAACTTCAATAACAATTTTGGTATTTAGATCCTACAAGTTTGAAATAAATCAGTTAAGAAGTACGTATTGATTGGTCAAAATTTACATAATGAATGGCTGCCGAAATGGAATTCGAACTCTACCTTGGCTTCAGTCGTATTTAAACCATAAGGTGGGTTATCTATAGCCGTTGCCAAAGCATCTTCTGTTTTACCTCTAGGCGTCGATCACAAATGAAAAGGATGAATGAATAAACCAAATCATTCCAAATAAGAAATGCTAAACCTACCTTGTTAACAAGTTTCTAACTTCAACTCCTTTAGTATTAACTTTACTTAATGCCTCCTCAGGTTCAATTGGTTTCCCCTCCGAAAATTCAAATAATTCTTCCTGAACTAGTTGTTCCTCGTCCAAAATATCAATATCAATATTACGAAAAGACATTTCGAAAATACGGTTATGTGTAGTACACGATAGAGGTAATCTTTAAATGCAGTAATTACGTATTACGTATTATGTTGGACCGTATCTGGTATCAGTTGTTTTGCGTAAATTTTTTAATATATAGCATTCGAATTTGCTTTTAAAAATAAAATACGATTAAATCGAAAAATATATTTTATTAAATTATAATACACAAAAAACTTGAAAATATTATTTAAATAAAAATATTTTATAAATACTTTCCAAATTGTGATTTTTATTAATTATTAATTGATAAAATTTATAACAATAATAATATGTTGAAATCTGTTGCTATCAATATTGATTTATCAAAATAAATATTTTTATAAAATTTTATACCAATCTATTTACATATATTAAATTATGAATATTATATATAAAATATTAAAAATATAAATAAAGATAAAAGAAAAAAAAAATAAGAAAATATCAATATTTTATAATTAATTTTTATTTTATATCTTTAGTATATATAGTTATAAACAAAAAAATTTTTTAAAATTAATATATATTTTTTAATAAATACTTTAAAATTAATATATATTTTTTAATAAATACTTTAAATTATTTTTTAATTAGTACAAATTATCAAATATAAAAATTAAAAATCAATTAAAATATAACTTTTAAGTTTCTTAACAAATATTTCAAAAAACTTTAATTGGTATTAATTATTAAATAATTTATTATTTTTTTTATAGATAAATATTATTACTTTATTAATTATAAAAAATCTAATAATTTTTTATATTTATTATATATTTATATTTATATTAATAATTTATTACTACTGAAAAAAAAAAAAAACTCTCTTCTAATTACATTTGTTTTGTTAAAAATTTTTCTTTTATAATAATTTTAAGCAAGAAAAAATGTTTAACACTCTTTATCACAAATAAGCCCTGATTTAAAAACTCAAAAACCTTCAAGATAACTAATATAATAAGATGAAATCTCTGGTTGAAGTCTACTTAAGTTTGAGAGTTTTGTTTATTCTTTGATTGTATAAGGAAAGACCTGTAACAGTTCTCGCTTCTTTTGTTCTTTTGCATCTCTCTTTATTTTTACTATATCACAAAAACTATTTATATCAATATCATTATACTTGCTAAACTAAACACTTTTCAAAAAATATACCCAAACAAAGTTATTAGATCCATTGTTTGTTTTAATATAACCTTTACACATAATTTTATTATAACATTATTTACTATACCATTTCAAAATTTTCAAAACTTTTTTTTCAAAAAAATTGAAATTAGTTTATCCTCTTCAAATAATTGTTACTCTTCAATTATTCAATTAAATTTTGTCAAAACAATAAAAAAAAAACTGAACCAGTCTAAATTGATTATTTAGTATAATAATAACAACAACAACAATTACTATAACAATAAATAACATTATCATATTCTACTATCCATATCAACAAAAGCAATATCAACAAGTATTAAGGAATTGACAGAATGGATCATTAAGCCAAATCAAAAATTCTCTTGGAAACTTTACTTTTATTTATATAATTTTATAGTTTAAGTAACTTAGTTATAGTTTTAATATCCCATATTATTGTAGTCCCAGTTTATTTTTTTCTTTTAATTTTCTTTTACTTTCAAATTTTTCTATACCCAATTAAAAATAACTTTGAATAAGTAAATATAATCACTATTTAGCTATATTTAGCATATTTAATATTGTTTTAAAATTTTTTTTCAATATTAGTTAGGTATAGATATATAAGCAAGCTAGTATTTAACTTGTTATATTTTCATACACAAGAGATATTGTTTTTTTTATTATATATATAACTTTTTGATATAATACTATTAATAAAGAAATGATATTACCTATTGGAAAAATAATAATAATAATAATAATCTAATATAAATATTAAAAAAAAAACTTTTTTTTGATTATATTTACTTATTAAAAAAATATATATATTCTTTTTATTACAAATGATTCCTAGTTTAAAAACTCAATAATATTTAAAACAATTGATACAATAAAATGAAATTTTTAATTAAAGCATATTCAAATTTGAAAGTCTTGCTTATATATATAATTGTACTGTTAATTTTTATTATATATAGTAATATAATTTTTAATTAAATACAATTTTCAATTAATTTATTATATATTTAATAACAATATAATTTTTAAAAAATATTCAAATTCAATTTCACTATATATATAAATTTTATTTATCCTTTAATTATATAAAAAAAGACTTGTAACAGTTTTCTTTTCTTTTGTTCTTTTGTATTTTTTTTTATTTTTATTATATTATAAAAACTATTTATATCAATATTATTATATTTACTAAATTAAATATTTTTTCAAAAACATACTCAAATACAGTTATTAAATCTTTAAGTCAATCTTTATATATAATATTACCATAGCAATATTTGTTATATTATCTTAAATTTCTCAAATTTTTTATTCAAAAAATCAAAATCAGTTTATCTTCTTTAAATAATTATTACTTTTCAATTATTTAATTAGATTTTGTCAAAACATCAAAATAAAAACTAAATTTACTTAAACTAATTTTTCAATACAACAACAACAACAACAATAATAATAATAAATAACATTAATTATACTATAATTTCTTTGTTATTAAAATATACGGTAGCTCACATAAATAACTGATCACCGATCAATTTTTATTATATATATATATATATTTTTTAAAATTAAAAATTAATTTTAATAATATATTTGAATAATAAATACTTTTAAATTTTAATAATATTTTGAAATTAGAACTAATATTTTTAAAAAATGGGGTTTAAAAAATTTTATATTTAAAATATAAAAAATTATTTAATATTAACAAAAAATATTATATATATATATATATAATA